AAAGCAATATCCCTAATAATAATTTCAAATATCCAACACCAAAGTAATATCCCCAATAATAATTTCATGTCCCCAATAATAATTTCAAATATCCAACACAGATGCAGACAACATACGTCCCCAATAATAATTTCATATCGCCAATAATATTTCAAATATCCAACAGAGAGGCAGACAACATACGTTGGGCGGTCATAAAGACGGATTGTGTTGTGATTCTAAATGGAGCACGGATACCCTAAAACAATAATAATGCATCTGATTACTGACTAATGAAATAGATAGACACTACCCACTAAACTAAGAGAAAGAATAGTAATAAATGAGATAGGTAGACACTGCCTACTAAATTAACTAAGAGAAAAAATAACAAAACGAAGGTAAATTTGACAGCAATGATAACACAAAAGAACTATAACCACCATTTAGAACAAGTACCACACGAATGTTTAAAAAAAAAGGGAAAATTATGTATATATCCGTTATACTTTTTATTATTACCAAAATACTTAATACTTTCTATTATTATTGGAATGTCCATTTCTTTCACTTCAAAACGAATTTTTTTTAAAAAAGATGTTTTTACGCTTTTTTGGTTGTTCATCAACCAAAATGGCTAGAATTTAAACATTTCAATTTTTGAAAAACCGATAATTTTCCTACTAATAAACAAAACATACAAAGCATAAAGGAGGTTTTTTCTTGATGTTTAGGGTTATTAAAAATTTTTGTCCCCCCAATACAGTATCCTACGAACTTTTTGGTCCCCCGATACAATAAAGTATCCCACAAAGTTGAAGATTTGGCTTTCTGTTTGGTCTTGATTGGTACCTTTCTTACTATTGCCTAATATTGTTGATGAATTTTGTCACAATTAATACAATATTATATTTTTGTGTTACTATTTATTGTGTATTGTTGATTAATAAATATTTTTTGGTAAATATTGTTGAAGCTGTTTATTTGCATAAATATTTGTTGCTCTTATTAATATTTGTTATTTTGGGTAGTTTATTGAACAATCGATTTATTTAGTAGTACTTTATGTTGATATATATAATAGTACACTATATTGTATTTGATGTTTTGGGTAAATATTGTTCAACTTGTTTGTTTGTATTAATATTTGTTGTTTATTTTGTGTTTGTATTAATATTTATTGTTTATTTTGTGTTTGTATTAATAACTGTTGTTTTTTTTTTTTTATTGAGTAATTGGCTTTTTTAGTAGTACACTATTTTGATCTATTATGTAAAATTCATATTTTATGAACCCTATATTAGTTAGGTATATGCAAATTTTTTGTATTCCTTGTTATATTGATTTTTTGTAACATGAATTTTGGAATTCATTTAATACAGTAGCTTTGACACGATAGTTACTGAGGGAGTGCAACTGGTATTTCGATATAGGGGGCATTTGAGATGAATCCAAAGTATGGATGTGTTGTTCATAAAGGGGGAAAATTGAAGGTTACGAAGTATAATGAAAATAGTTTTTTGGAGGAACTAAAAAGTCATTTTGGAAATTTAACATCGTGTAATCCAAAAAAATTAATTATTATGTACCACAACACAAGCCTATCTAGTGGCCTTGAATTGATTGATGTAAGTGATGATATAGATGTATCTTTTATGTTGGAAGGGGAGTCTTCGAGTATTGTTATATACATTGCCTCTGCAATAGAGTCAGAATGGAGATCTATGGAATTCCAAACGACAGAACCTGTTGGTGATGACCCATTTCCAAGGAATAGGTACATCTACAGTTTACTATTTTATCTCTAATTTATTTTATTTAAATCTTTTATGTACACAAATTGTTGCTGCATCTTACACTCTATCTTTTGTCAATAGTCGACATAATTCTCTTTTACTTGATGAACATGAGAACATTCAAGTGGCGCCCGAGCCTGAGCTTGTACCAAAGCGTGATATGGAGGATATTTAACCATTTGAGAGCCCATGTAGAGTAGTTGGTAATGAGGTTCAATTGACAATTGGGCAATTTCTTGAAAATGTCAATGAATGTCGATATCATCTTGTTGATTTTGCTGTACACAATAATTTTGTTCTGAAGTTTGACAAAAGCAAAAAGGGGCGGGTGTAGGTAAGTTGTAAGTCAGAGGGATGCACATAGCAAGTGCGATGCTTATATGTTGGCAATACAGAATACTTAAAAGTGAATTCCATGGTTAGGGAGCACATATGTACTGGTCCAATGGGGAGGGTCCATCAGCCACTAGCTCGTAGTGATTGGGTAGCAAAAAAAATTAAAGCCCACATTATTGACCAACCAAAAATTAAAGTGAAAGACATTATAAAGGATGTCCAATGCGATCACGATGTCAGGCTTTCTTACATGCAAACTTGGCGGGGAAAAGAGGTTGTTAGAGAGATGATAGATAGATCACATGAACAACAATAGCATGACCTCCCCTTATATATGGAGAAGCTCGAAGAACCAACCCTAAAATCGAAGTTCGCATCTACACAGATGAAGGCAGGTCCAAACGACTGTTCATTACTTTTCGTCCATGCATCATGGGTTTTGTTAATGGATGCAGGCCACTAATGAGTATTGAGAGACATTCTTAAAAAGAAAATAACAAGGCATATTATTGTGCGTTGTTGCCGTAGATGCAAATAATGGGATCTTTCCAATGGCATTTGAAGTGGTCGAGAATGAGAACTACTAGAGTTGGTATTAATTCTTAAGTATACTGAGTGAGTTATTGAATGAGTTTTCTAATCTGTCTGTCTTAACAATTGTATCAGATCGACAGAAAAGCCTGCCAGAAGCAATAGAAAAATGTTTTCCAGCATTCTGCATGCAACATATAAGAGAGAACTTCAAGGGCTTTATGAAGAAGTCAGCAAACACTGAAGCATTGATGATGCTGTTTTGGAAGGTTACCCGTAAAGCGACCATTAGTGGGTTTGAAAAAATGATGTTTGATATACAGTGTGCCGACCCAGAAGCATATGAGTGAATTAAGAATATCCCTCTTAAATATTGGGCATATACCTATTTTCCAGTGGCAAGATACAATCATCTTACCTCTTAGTGAGTTGAGTCATTCAATGCTTGGCTTTTATCTTCTCCAAAGAAGCCGATCATTGCAATGTGTGAAGAATTAAGGGTACAGTTGATGACCAGGTTTGAAGAGAAAAGAAAGTTAGGTAATAGTTGGAGCAGCATCCTAGGACTAAAAGCCCAAGAATTACTCGACTACGAAAGATGAAAGCAAGACTTTTACGCACAGTTATATTGGCCATGAATGCGCAGTTTGAGATCCACTATCTTGGGAAGAAGTACGTTGTCGATTTAACTCATTGGACATGCAATTGTAGGAAATGACAACTCTGTGGCATACCGCGTAGTCACGGCATTGCGGCTATTAACCATAGGCACTTGGATTCCACTGCGTACTGCATTCAGTATTTCACAATGGAATACTTTAAAAGGGTCTTTCAAACTCCCTTTGTACCTGTCCCGGATGATATTGAGTTGACTCGTATGTTCAATCGGACAGTGTTGCCATCAAGGACGACACGTCTTCCCGGTAGGCCGAAAAAGCAACCAAAAATATCAGAGACTGAACAGTCCACCACCAGGCCTTGGAGGTACAAGCGATGCGGTGCAGTGAGTAATAATAGGAGGACTTGCAAATAACCGATAGGCCATTAGGTAGTGAATCATAATTTCATAATGTTGTTTGTATAGAATTATCATTTTGATGAATTAATGAAGATCTTGAATTCCATGTTGTCAATCTTGTATTTTTGTATTGTGTTATGTACCCATCATTACATGCATAATACTTTTGTGCTAATTGTAGCTGACATGGTCCTCCAAGTAATAAGGTAATATAAAATGTAATAAACTCCAAAAAATATGTAATTTTCTAACCCATTTTATAATAGTGTTTAAAAAACTATAACATTCCTATTTTCGATTGTTCAACAACCGAAAATAAGACATTTTCGATTGTTCTACATCCGAAAATGTCTTGTTTTAAGTTCTTGTACAACAAAAAAGTAGGATTTCAAATTTTTAACCTCATGTCTATTTTCGGTTGTTCAACAACCGAAAATCATTTTCAGATGTTAAACAACTGAAAATGTCTTGTTTTTTGTTGTTCAACAACGGAAAATCATTTTCGGATGTTAAACAACAGAAAATATCTTATTTTCAGTTGTTCAACAACCGAAATTAGGACTGCGTTTTCCAGAAGTTTGCTGGAATTCACAGTTCTATTTTTGGTTGTTGAACAACCGAAAAACAGACATTTTGTGTTGTTCCACATCCAAAAATGTCTTGTTTTCGGTTTTACGACAACGGAAAATAAGATTTCAAATTTTTAACCTTGTGTCTATTTTTGGGTTGTTGAACAACCGAAAATAATACATTTTTGAATGTTGAACAACCGAAAATATCTTGTTTTAGATTGTTTAACAACCGAAATTAGGACTACGTCTTCCAGAAGTTTGCTGGAATTCGCAATCCTATTTTCGATTGTTGAACAACCGAAAACAAGACATTTTAGGTTGTTCAACATCCGAAAATGTCTTGTTTTGGGTTGTACAACAACCGAAAATAGGACAAAAGCTTAATGCCATTGTGAAGTTTTTCATAAATAAATTCTTTATTTGTTCATAGATAAATTAAGTTTTAAAATCAATATTTGTAGCAGCCTAAATTCTTACACATCTCATCTCCTCTCCTCCGTTCACTTTGCAGCAGCCTAAATACTTCGTGTGTTCTCTCCTCTCCTCAGAATTATTATTTGGTTTAACAAAGCCAGAATTAGCATAATATATAAAATTTGACGCACATAGTGTAGAATAACATATGCAAGGCAAATATACAATTTGTCTTGTATGTAAAATACTAAACTAGCATTTGGATTGGTAAACATTATGCTATCAACTACTCAACAGTCCAAAGTCGACAACAGAATGAACTTTTAAGGGAAGGAAAGACTCAACAAACTCAAATACAAAAATATGTTTGTAGTGTAACACATCTTAATAACTCAAAACACTCAAATATTGCCAAAAATACCATTACATTTCTCGGGAGTTTATTACAATATGATAACATTACAACGGTTAAAAAGACAATTACATTGACCGCTTTCTCTTAAGCTCATACTGCTTCTTTTGCGTATTATGCCTTCTGAACTCCTCAACCATAGGTTGTGTAGATGGAACCAGGTCTTCAATAGCCTGACTACTTTCACCGACTACATCTTGTCTGGGCTCGTCATGTGCATCTTCGTTATTAACTTGACATTATAAGTTTTCCATCTGGGCTCCTATATCATCCATGTCGATAGGCACAACCTTAGACACCATTGCAAACGTATTGTTAACGTGATTATAAACTTCAGGATTCCACTTATGTCTAAGTGTAAGTGCCTCTGCTAACATGACTGTACTAGCCTGAACTGCACTAACCTGCAAAAGCAAGATAGGTAATTATAACATTTAAACCATTTCATGGAATTAATGGGTAAGTATAAAATTAAAAAAAATTGTAGGTTATATAAGCATACCAACTGGTCCTCATAACCTCGAGGTCTCATTATATACTATGTTTCATGTGCAAGAACCACCCCTTTTTCTTCCTGGTTAGCAGGTTACAATATGTCATTTGGTGAGTTAGCGACATTATGGATTATAGGATAGGACACTAGGTCGTATCAGGCCTTGTACTCCTCTAACGGCAACCCATTGACAGTATCCACTTCAATGCCTGGCATCATGCGCTCATATTGAGTTAACCATTGATGGATCTTGTTAGAATTTACATTTCTCCAATCTTGCTGCCCACCTTGTCTACTAGACCTTTGACCAACATATATGGGACTTCTTGGATGCCGACACACACGTCTAGCATATACGGCTCGGCAATATCATCAAATATCAGGGTTGTTAAAACACATTGCGGTTTCGAATGCCAGCAACCTATCATTTGAAATGGCCTCATCAGCCTTGAAATAGGGATTCTGTATTACTTGTTATATGATATGAAATCAAACATACGACAATCAATCAATAAACAACTACAAATACTTAAATACAATTAAAATTAATCAATAACAAATCTTGTAATATCAAAATACACACTAACCTCATTAGGCTGGAGGTTATCGAATTCTTACCTAATGGGAGACATCAATTTATGTGGATTGCCATAATAATTCTTCAGTGGCTCCCATCTTTTTGCCCCCGGGGCATATTTAGAAAGATACTATGCGGTATGGGCCTCATATGCATAATATGTTCATAAGACCAGAACAACATTATATTTACATATGATAAGTATTTTTTTTTGGAAAGTAGTCTAAACTATTTGGCTTATGTTAGCTACAAAAATAGAATTTACCTGCATAAGAGTGGTTGAACTACTAAAATGACTTCGCTTGAAAGTACAAACTTTTCCAAGAGATTGATAAAGATGTGCAAGGGATGTAGCACCCCCAGCATATATGTCGGCTTCTTCAATATCCTCAAAGAACTGTAAGTACCTCGTTGGCACTATTGCAACCGATGAATCTGCAAAAATGGTGATGTTGATGAAGTAGAGCAGGTAGGCTCGGGTATATCTAACAACTTGCACAGGGGTTGCATCAGGTGGCAATGTATGAAAGTTTGCCACCATAAGTGCTTGATGACTGTCAAGTTGCCTCCAATGGGGACTATACCTAAATTGTTTTCTATGAACTCTCGGAGGTCACTAATAGGACGACATATAACAGGGTCGCCATCCACAGCCAGTCCCAATATCTTATAAACATCAAATAATGTGGGTGTCATCTCACCAATTTAAATGTTATAATGAAATGAACACCGCCTATCTACATTGGCTGCTGCGATCAAAGGATGATCAATTCGACCTGTCTGGATTATAAATAGAGCACCCAACCCATACGAATTCACTCGCCCAACTTGCTCATCTGTTAGATGTCACTCGTTTAATTGAAAACTTTTTTCATCGATTCTAATTTCTTGTTTTTCCTGGAATACAGCAACTAGACAATATATGAATCACAAAATATATACATGTACTTCCCGTATGATGTATAAACAGACTACAATTTATTGAAAAATAACAAAGTAATGGAAATAGCAAATGAATATATGCATATACTTGTCCTTCCCATATGAAATATGATGAATGTTCTGAATGAAGTTGAAGCAAATTAGGGTCTTGAGGACCTCCTAGGTATCCCCCCATCAAGATGTACACGATTTATATTCACCGAAATCCCATATGGTCACCATGTTAATCATAACGTTACATATTCAAAACTTAACTGAATAACAAAAAAAAAATAATGACATGCTATTATTAAACCAAAAAACTGATCAATTTTAGACCATAACCTAATGTTATGGACCTAAAAAAACCATTTTTTTTACGCACAAACAACCTAATTGTATAGCTCTTCAACTCAACTTAGAGGTTCTAATACAAGTACTACTCTATCAAAAGAACATGATAATATAAAGGAATGAATATCGAGACAGCAATAACTCATAATGCATTTGCATATAGAATCAATGAAACAATGTTAACTCACGTATTAGACCTCCAAATAAGTGATCACAAATTTACATATCGAATGAGCTCTCAAATAAATCTAGTCACGAATTATTCTATCCAAAATATGGAAGTCTGTATGCATACAGTAATTTATTTCCTACGTACTCCTAAAACCACAAGAGTTTGCAAAATGTTCAAAGTAAATATGTACGTGAATCATAAATCACATACAAATTTTCATTGTTAAGCTACTCAATCTATCAACAACAAAAATCAACCCTTTCCTAAGATATCACTAAATCTATTACAAATCTGTACTTAAAACTATCTAAGAGTATCAAAGTTGACATACAATACAATATAATGTAAAATCTGCACAACATTCAAAACAAAGCAACACATCAAATTTCAAGTTCTAAAAACAAAGCAATCAAAACAAATCATTCAATCACAGTCCTGTGAACGTCCCCATAGACACTAAAAAAAAGTAATCAACTCAATACAACATCTTGTAAAAACTTTGAGTTCTACAGAAATCCCAAAATTCCTAGTTCTCAAAACCCCCAAATTTTAAAAATCTTATACAATCAAATCGACCCACAAATTAATTGAAACTAAATCAATTTCACGAGAAAGAATTAGTGTGCTTGAGTATAAACCCTAAATCACAATCTTGTACCGTCTAAATTTCTAAAATCGACCCACATACCTTCACTCTGTGAAATGCCTTCAAAATCCGAGAAATTCTGTTAAAATACAAAATAAATCCTGAGCTGCACATAACTATAAAGTTAGGTTGTTTGGGAGAGAGTTGTTAGCTACCTTTGTTTAGCACTCATAGAGCAAAGACATGGAGAGCGGAGAAAATAAACTCTTAAAACTATCAGGGTCATTTTCGGTTTTTGAGAAACCGAAATCATAACCATGTTAAAACTATCAGGGTCATTTTCGGTTTTTGAGAAACCGAAATCATAACCATTTCAGTTGTTCAAAAACCAAAAAGTAAAACTCACATAGACATAGAGAGCAACAAAGAAGATGAACGTTAAACTATCAAGGTCATTTTCGGTTGACGAACAACCGAAATTCCAGCCATTTCGGTTGTTAAACAACCGAAAAAGGGTAAAAACGTCTTTTTTAAAAAAAAATTGTTATGAAGTGAAAAAAACGGACATTCTAGTAATAACATAAAGTATTAGGTATTTTGGTAATAACGGAAAGTATAACGGATATATATGTAATTTTTCCTTAAAAAATGATCGGTGGCCCGGATTAGCCACCTCAAAATCGGGACAGAGATCAGTGATTTGGATCGGTGAATCGATCGGATCGATCCATTTTGGCCTCAAAAAAATTCAAAAAATAACTAAAAGTCCGTAAACATATTTTTTTAGTTTTAAAAAAATTTAAGGGTGGTGCATTATGTACTTTCACTATTTTACAAAAATATGTGAATATTGAGACCTCATTTCATTGTTTAGAAATCTGCGGACTATTAAATATTTTAGGGTTATTATTTCCTTTGTATTGTTTTAATTTCCTTTAGGGTTAAAAAAGAAAAAGAAAAAAGAAAAAGAAAACAGAAAAAAGAGACAGACGTCGTGTTGCTTAATTTCTTTTGTTGACATTTTTTACACCACAAAACCTCATTTATATAGCTTTAAAATTAGCTTTATGGTATAAAATCAAAGCCATATGGTGTAAATAATCTTGCAGAAAATAATTTAAAATCAGCTATTTCGAAACGATGGTGTAAATTTTTAAAATTAGTTATAGCGTAAAATAACTATGGTGTATATTAACTACATTTAAACTATTACTATAGCATGAAGAGAACAAAGCTAAGTTTACACCATATAAATAAACTATATAAATAGAGAAGCTTTAAATATTGGCTATTTAAAAATAATAATAAACTATGTAAAGGCCTATAGAGTAGAGAGAGAGAGAGAAAAAGTATCCAGTGGCTTAATATGTGACAAGTACCTTGCACTTTCGTTGCAAGTTTTATTAATACGTTATGCATAAAGCAGTAATAAATATTTAAAAGAAATTATGAAATCTAATTGTCAAAGCACAAACCATACAAAAGTGCTAGTGTTAAACAATGGTTCACAATATAAAGAAAAAAATGAAATTAAACCATCTATTTAGGCCTTAATCATGTTTATAAACCATAAATCTCATCAAGTTACATGGCTTACATGAAGTTCTATAAAAAATAAAAAATAAGGAAAACACAGGAAGAAAATGTACCTCAATAAAAAATAAAAATAAAAAGGAAAACACAGTAACACAATGTACCTTTTTAGATTTGGGAGAAAATAATCTAAAGTGGAAAACACAAGATGTACCTCTTTAGATTTGAGATAAAATAATCTAAAATTATAGAAATATAGATAACCAAAAGAGAGAGAAGTATGTACTGCTGTGTTGGGTTTTATGTAAATTTTGGATTGGATATAAATTTCTAAAATATAGGAAAACGTATTTTAGGCATCACGGTAGTGGTGCTCTTGATACTATAAAAATAGGAGAGTTTTGATGTCATAAAAATAGGAGAAGAAAAGAGATCTCAGCTACGCATCACGGCTTTTGATGCCATAATCCGCCATGTAATCAAAATATGAGAGGAAAAGAGATCTCCGCTGCGCATCACTGTAGTGGTGCTTTTGATGCTATAAAAATAGGAGAGGAAAAGAGATCTCCACTGGATGACAAAAAGATCAATGAGATCAAACTATTTTAGGTTTGTTTTTTTTTATGAATTAGTTTTCAAGATTTTTTTTATGCTTTTTAATTATCACTTTTAACGGTTTTGTATGCTTTAAAAGTTTTTTATATCCAATCCTCACATTTTTATTACCTTTAATATTATTTATAATTTTTCATTTATTAAATAATTTAATTAGTCTTTTTTTTCAATACAAATTTTTTTAAAAAAATTATATTTTAAATGTTATGTTTTATTTTTTAATTACAATTTGATTAATTTGTATTAATTATACTATTTTTAATCATTAATTTTATAGTAATTAAATATTTATTACTCTTTATCATGGTTTCATATATAAATGATATCCACCTGATACTTTGTCCTAATTTTTAGGCACATATAAATTAATGGATATTATTAACTCTATCGAACACCTTAGAGTTACAAATGCACATGCGTATATTAATAATAAAAGGAGGTGGTATTGCACATATGAAAAAGTCCCTGGACAGATCCATATCTATTCTATTCTCACCTATCATATGAGAATATTGCAACCTGAAAATCAAATAACTGAATACCATATTATGAGAATATTGCTGCCTAAATATGAAATAAAAGAACACCTAAGACCACGTGAACAATTGAAAATATTGAAAACCAAATAAATACTATGAACGAATAAATGTGTGAGAGAATATATAAATGATTGGAGAGAGAATAAATAAACGATTCGTGAGAGAGGCGGAAAGAAAAAGATGTTTTATGGGGTTTCTACATAACTACTAAATTAACATCTATCAGCTACAGATATCCATCATTTTACTAAAACAATTCAATAGTTAATAACAAATAAACAATTAAAGATGGAAAGAGAGAGATTTAGGAGATTTCGTTGAGAGATTTATGGAGAGAGGCGTTTTGGAAAGTAATGCCTCTCTCACTATGCAAAATATTTTTTTTGTAAATAAAATATATACTACAAAGATTTCCTACAATTTAGATAAAGACGGTAGATTTGGAGAAAAATAATACAATAATAGATATCCAATTCTCTAAAATCTCTTTGCCTGATTTATCTATACAAATTCTTTCTGTATCCATAAAATTCTCTTTCGATACATGTCCACCCCTTAACTTTGACTTAATAATGTAGCATAGATAAATTACATAGCTTTAAATATTAATTCAAAGTAATTCAAGCTCGAATAGTACTTTAATCTTTAGAGACGGAGGGAATAGTTTTAAATACTAATTCAAAGTAATCTAGGCTCTAATAGTAGTTTAATATTTAGAGACTAATAAAGTTCATTCAATAAGGTGAGGGTAGGTGAAAATTATCCATCAGTGATTCAAAGAAGGAAAAAGTTTGTATACTTTTGAGGAAAGTGCATCTCAAAATCCTAATAAAGTGGATAGTGTTCCCACATAAGAGAACCCTCCAACTGATCATCTCGACCTTGAGCTAGGAGAACCCTCCAACTAATCATTTTGAGCCTGAGATGAATGGATATGAAGAAAAAAAAGAATTTTAAGTTCAAAAAATAGTACATCTTGTAAAAATTCATCTGGACCGTCTATTTTCAAGATTTTCAAGTGTTTATTGATTTGCTCGATCTGTATCTTTTTTTTAAATTATAAATTTTCTAATTGAAGATAAAAAGATATTTTGAAGCCATCATAAGATTTTAGACACCAAAACAACATCGATAAGTAAATTTTATATAATTGCACTTCACTTCTACAATATAAGGAGGCAACTTTATAAAAACCTCACCTTTTGAGGAGGTAGCAACTTTGTACAAACCTCACCCTTCAAACAAGCATAAGCGCTCAGGACTCATAAAATGATGTATCACAAACAATTACCACTTGCTATTTCTCGTGCTGACGCACGTCTGGTGGCTGGCCATGATGAAGAGGGTTGACGATGATGAAGAGTTACCACGCATGTCTGGTGGCTGGCCATGATGAAGAGGGTTGATTTGGTACCATAGTTTTATAAATTATGGGATGTGACCTGTATTCTTTTAAAAATGAAATAAAATTGACCATATAAAAAATCGGGCACTGTAACACGTAAAGGATGCACGCATGTGCGTAAGGACATACACACATGCAAAAGATTTAGTAACACAACAAACTTCCTAGTAAGCACCTTAAAAAACAAACATTGCAAAAAGGACACTATAATAACAAAACATTGCAATAAATGCAAAACGGACACCATAATAACAAAAGAGCACTAAGGGGCATGAGGAAACAACACAAACACAAATTCATCATCTAGTAGTCTGTAAAACAGCATGGCCAAAATAAGGCCATGCAGTTTTCTCAATGTAGTTGCATGATGTATCTCACGCACTCTCGCTTCTATGCTCTATTTGGCTTTTTCATTGTGTTTATCTCTCCCTGTCTCTCTTATCAAAACACAATTCCCAAGATATACAATCATGTGATATTAAGGAAAACCACAATCGAAAACATTAATGTCAATACATAACATAATTCCTAAGAATGTAATCTCTATGATATCAAGTGGTTAATTAAGATGAGAATACATTAATGTCAATACATAACATAATTCCTAAGAATGTAATCTCTATGATATCAAGTGGTTAATTAAGATGAGAATAGGAAGAACTATAATAGAAGAGAGAAAAATAGTCCTAGAGAGATAAAGTTGTAGAGTTGATTGAAGCTCTAGAACCATGGAAGAGTTAGAATAGGATAAGTTCTTTAAGTTTTCTAAATAGGAGGGTTGTTGGGCTGGAGAGGTGCGATGACAGTGGGTGTCATGGTCATTGAGATGAGGAAGTTATTGGGAGAATATTGAAAGGGTATATAATAAAGAGAAAATGAGACAAGTGTGAGAGTGGCTATTGAGGCGAAGAGAGATTTATAGAGACAGAGAAAGTTGTAGAGCATGGAAGATCCAAACCAATGTTTTATAGATTTGGGCACTGGACTCGGCCTTAGCTTGAGCTGAGTAACTGGCTAAATCTGAGTGGACTTGCCGAGTCATGAACATGGCTCAAAAAGTCCTAAAATGTTTCAAAAAAAAACTTAAAAATACTAAATCCTAAACCATGAACTTTAAAAGTGAAACAAAATTGCTGAGTAAAATCTGAGTGGACTTGCCGAGTCATGAACATGGGTCAAAAAGTCCTAAAATGTTTCAAAAAAAAACGTAAAAATACTAAATCCTAAACTATGAACTTTAAAAGCGACACAAAATTAAAAGCTACATAAGGAATCTAAATAAGATGAAAATAATACAAACATGGATTTAGGAAAAAAAAATATTTATGATTGGAGCCATTTCAGAAAAATTGAAAAAAAGGAAAATGCAAAAAATGGCATTCAACAATAAAACATAAAAATCAATATAAAATACATCCAAATTGTATGTATAATGTGTATACATCAATCACAAAGGTCTATATTTTTTTTATTTTTTCAATATACCAGAGCTGTACTTGGGTACTCGACTGAGCCAAGGGCTAAGTCCAAGTGAAACTATAATGAGTGGAGAAAAGGGCAATGCCAAGACATAGATGAGGAGAGAATTAGACGGTGAGACTGCAGATCCATTTTGTCATCATTGGTGGTACAAACCTTTCTATTTTGACCAAAAGAACTTCGCTTCTTAAGCATAACTTGGTTGTTACCTAGCTCTCTATGTCTTGCCTAAATCTTAGGTGCCATAGAAGATATGCACAAAGAAGCTATGTCATTTGCAGTAGAGGTTCTTGAGGGGTAACTTCATTGAAAGGGATGTCCACCAAAATGAGGTTGATATTGCTCTCAATGCTAGAAGATAGGATGAACTATTCTTTGTCTTGAGTGAAGGGTCACCAAGTTCAAATTGCAAAAGGTTGTGGATTGTAACCCATAACAAAGCTTATAGTAACAAAGCTTATAGGTACGTTTTCTTAGATGTGGTTCTAGGCTACTAATATCATGTACATGTTCTACATGATTGACAGTTTTCAATGTATACAAAATGTGATGATTGGGATGTCTAGAGACATGGTTACTTGGGACACTCTAATCTCAAGTCTTGTTGATTTGGCATCTTCATCAAAGGGTCACAGCTCTTTCATGACAACTAATAATGAGTTCCTATGGTTTATCGAATGGAAACTTTTTTATATAAGGTTGCAATTACATATGCACCTCAAATGGGAAAAACTTATTTTAATGTTGAAAAACCCTCTAATTGATCATCTCGACATCGAGATATATGAATATGAAAAATAAATAAAATTATAGTCTCAGAACTAATACATCTTGCAACACATTATTTAGACTATCCATTTTCAATATTTTTATATGTTTATAGATCTACTTGATTTTAACCATTTTTAGAGTTTAGAAATTTTATAATTTGATATGAAAATAGATTTTAAGATAATTCTAAGAACATTTTACACCAAAATTACATGTTATGATAAAATTTAGAGGTACGGATTAATTGGATTGTTTAAAATTGCAACCTTATTGAAACCACACCCTTATCAAATAAACTTATATATTTTATTTATGTTAATATAAGTTTGTGCCTGTTTAGGATATCGATTTGATGTGTCATACAACACATCTATTTACATGTGTCTCCCTCCAAAATCTATCTTAGAGATGAATTTTGTATCCAAAATTTTAAAGGTTGATAATCTCAACTTTGATGATTATGAATCTGTAAAGAAAAAAAAATGAAGTTTATAAATGATATTGCACCGGACATTTTAGTTTTTGGAAGAGGCACTTTTCTTGGCACCCATCTTACTGATGGTGGTTTATTATGTAAGTGATATAACTCTATATCAATGTTGTCAGATTTGCTTCGGAGTCTTCTTCGTTTTGGTGAGAAAAATGAAGTAAATCGATGCTTCGGGAGAAGACTTTAGACCTTTTTTTAAAATTTAATATAAATAAATTAGATATATATATATATAAATATATATATATATATAATATAAAATAATAGGAAAAATTAAAATTAATAAAAAAAATTAAAAAATATATAGGTGTTTCTTTTCTGATCGAAGCAACCCGAAGCTTCGGCCAAAGCAAACTCGAAGCAAAGCGAAGCAGCCCGAATGTGACAGAAGCGGCAGCACCACACTTCTCTTCGCTTCGGTTTATGCTTAAATTCTGAAGGCTTCAACCTCTTGACCGAA